TTATAAGTTGGTATATATGAGTTAAACATTTATCAAATGCTAATGTTTTAGTTATTGCTCATATTATGTTTAGCATATCTCTACTGGGCGTTGGCTCACCCTATATGGGACATCATTTTCAGGTGCAGGTGATATGCTACCTCCAAGGACGTAGCTTGGGAGGTTGTAGAAGCAGAAGGCTTATTTTGTGCAAAGAGTTAGAACTCTACTTTTGTTGAACCCAAGTGTTGACTTGGTAAGTTGTAAGCCTATAGGGCATTTATTTTTGTTGTCAACATGTAGTATCTCTTGTAAGAATACTCTAATGTTGGGAATATGAAATCTCTTTCTTCTATCCTGATTGTATGATTATGGGTTTATTTTGAGGGCGTTACATGAATGGTATAGTGTAAATATTACAAACCATTGTCGTGCAAAATGTTGCGAACTATGTGGTGAAAAATTATAATTTGTTATGGTTATGTTACATATATTTTGATAACGTGTATAAGCAGTTTCGTTTGTGAACATGATATTTTAGTAATTTTTTAGTTTTTTAAGAAAGATATGTAAAAAAGTAAAGAGGTTGATGTGATAATTTATAGTGACTTTTTGGCCAAAATTGAAAGTTATCAAACGACAACTCCCTAACATGTTATGTTCTAAAATATATTTGTAATTATATTATTCACTTTATAAAACATGGAAGGCTTAAGTGAGAATGGTAGTGTCCCAACCGATAAAAACTGATTAACAAAATTGGATTGACCATTTTTGTCTCTCACTAAGCCAATCATTATTTTTCACTACCATAATGTAAGAATCCTCATTGATTAGTAATATTACTATTATATCAAATATTTAACAAAGTTTATCCATTTTCAATTAATAACATGAAAAATCACAAGTGTTAATTGCATAAAAATCTATTGCCTTTAAATTCAACCTTACATGTCTTTCTATCTTTATTTATTTATTTATTTTTTGGCCCCCCAATGATCAAACCCTAGGTTTGTCCCTGGTTGATAGGACGGATTTTTTTTAAATTTGGGCGAGCCATATCTAGTATTAAGAGTATGAGTTCAAAGATCTGCTTGATTGCGAGTCTAGGACTTATTACTATATGGTTAAATAGTTTTGCTGTGTAGGACCACTTAAGAGTGACCTTTGTAGTATCAATTTAGAGTCTAATTGCAAAGGTCATTCTTGTGGTTAACATTTGTTTTTTTAGAAATGCCTAGAATTTTTATTTTTGTCTTTTACTTTTAGCAAATTATGTAGACAATCCTTATATCTTGGCCCTTGTGTTATTTTAATTTTTGTAATGTTAATTCGCTCAATTTTGATTTTCAATATATGATTTCATCTCAATTTGGTCTAATTCATTATAATTGTTAGTTTTTATTTATTTATTTATTTATTATATATAATATGAGAAATGCGTAGGTAAGCGTAATATATTATGTTCTTATAGACAAAATTAGAACCCTGTTTAACTTTTTGAATTAATATCAATTAATTCAATGATAATTTCTCTTGAAAACCCTAACGAGCGTTATCAATCGAATTAAATTGAAATAAAATTAAAAATTAAAGATCAAAATTAAGTTAATTCAAATTACAGAGACTAAAATAACACGAATGACAAGATACGAGGACTATTAGTATAGTTTATTTATTTATTTATTTTGATTAGTTGCATTCAAATTTTTCTGGGTGGAACTATTGTGACATGAATCTGTAATGGCGCCGCATGCGAATGAGTGGGAATAAAAGTTCTCGAATTTTTGTTAAGAAATCATTTTAAAAAAAATACAAGAAATTATAAAAAAAAAATTAAATTTAACCTTTATAATTTTGTGAACTTAAACTCTAATTAAATTACATAATCTGAATATTCAGTGCCTAGAGGGGCTGAATAGGCCAATAAATTAAAATTATCAATTTTAAGTTCAAATAAGTTGATTAAACAAATTAAATCAAGTAAAAACAATCAACACATGAACATAAGATTTTACGTGAAAAACCCAACTTGGTAAAAAATCACAATCCCAACACTTAGAGAAAATCCACTATGATCAAAGAATACAAACATAAAGTCGAGAGTACTTACAACCTTCACCTAGGTTTACCTAATATGATATTTTGTAATAACTCCTACGAGCACAACTTGGCCCAATAAGCCTTCTTGATCTTCAGGATTCCCCGAAGTTTCAGCTATAATCTCTGTTCACGAATGGCTCCGATTACCTAATTTGCCAAAAGTCTAGAATAAACAATGCAAGAATGTAAAGTATTTTATGAATTTCTCAAATTCAACTCTCTAAAGAGAATATATATTTTTCTATGAAAACACAATAATTGAGATCACCAAATTTAGGTTTAGAAATACCTGTTTATAGAAGAAAAAAGTTATCCAAAACAAATAGAATTAGGTTTAGGAAAAATGTGGAATAACGATCCATCGCACCTCAAGAGAGATCGCTCACCTTTCGATGACAAAGTTCTATTTTTCAAAACGTAGAGACTGCTGACCAAACGTGTGAGCGATCGCCCAATACGGCTAGTCCAGATTTGCAATCTTTTCCAAAATGATTTAGGAAAGCTTTTTCAAAATCTTTTTATATAAAACCTTTTTCAAATATGGTAAAAATATGTATGCAAATTTTACATTGATGGGTAATTGACCAAATCTTCCAAGCTTGTTGTGTGGGGCTGACTGAGCATATGAAATGGCAGAATTGGCATCACACAATTAATCCACCCATTAAATCCAATTTTAATCACTAAAAATAGCCAATACAACATCCTATTTCACTATCTTTTGATTTATTTTCAATATAAACCATTACACTATTTTTATTAAGTAAAATCGATAAAGATAAAAATAAAAATAAAATAAAAATAAAAATAAAAAATATTTTAGTCATGAAACTCAGTATACGTACATAAAAGATCTTAAATATTCTTTTCTTTGAGTTTAATGATTATTTTTTTTTCAATTTTATTTTTAATGAAAAGTGACGGATGGTTTAAATCGAAAACAAATCAAAAAACTATGATTTAAATTGATAAAATTAAAAATCAAACTATGATTTATTTTGTTATAAGAAACTCTGAAATAATTTTTTTGAAAGTTTTTCAAAAATTTATGAAAATTTAAAATTTGTATTCGAGAAACTACAAAATTCAATAGAATTTGTTAAATTTCAAAGTTTTTGTATAGAAATTAAAAATTTATGAAAAATTGAGAATTTTTTTGAATGCAACTTAGGCTCCGTTTGTTTCACCGTAAAATATTTTTCATGTAAAATGATTTTGTCTAAAAGTAAGTTTTTTTATTTTTACTTGCGGTTTTTAGTTAACACTTAAAATATTTTTTTACAATAGAAATCATAATGAAGAATCAATTATAGAGTAAACTATAAAAAGAAAAAAATAAAAATAAAAATGGTCATATTCGCTCACCAATCACCATTTATTATGTCTTCTCATAGTACTTGAGAATAAAGATGTTTAGTGTTTATAAAAGTTGTTAGATTTGATAGGTATGTTAAGTTTTCATGTAAAATGATTTTGTCTAAAAGTAAGTTTTTTATTTTTACTTTCGGTTTTTACTTAACATTTAAAATATTTTTTTACAATAGAAATCTTAATGAAGAATCAATTATAGAGTAAACTATAAAAAGAAAAAAATAAAAATAAAAATGGTCATATTCGCTCACCAATCACCATTTATTATGTCTTCTCATCGTACTTGAGAATAGAGATGTTTAGTGTCTATAAAAGTTGTTAGATTTGATAGGTATGTTAAGTAGTATCTCGACCATGATAAGAAAAAAAAAATTGAAAACAAAAAAAATATTTTATTTATTTTTGGTCAACTAAACAATCAAAAATAAAAAAATATTTTATGGTGAAACAAACGAGTCTGAATATACTTCTTGTTTGATAAACTCTCTCAATTAAGGTACTTTTTTTTTTATAAAAAAAAAGGTATCTTGTATGAAAAATGAATATGTAAAAGAAAATTTATGAAATTTTAAAATTTTGAAGGAAAAAGTTTTACTGTCTTGGTATGTCAAGTTAGTTGTTATGCATATAACTCACGTTTTAACAAGTATAACTCTCATATTTAATAATAAAATTATTATAATTATTAATTAAAATATATTTTTAATATCATTAAAAAAATTCAATTGACTTAATGATTTATTAATAGAATAGATCATTTGTTATATGATTAGAAATTTGAAAGGACGGGTGTATTTGTCATTTACCCAAATAAGTATAATATGGTTAGGGGTATGCGCGGTGCAGTTCAGATGGTCTGAGAGTAAAACTATAAACCAATGCATGAATGGCGGATTAGCAAATAACCAAACCGTGGTTTGGGCGATTTGGGACGGTTTCAATTTGCTAGTTGATTGAAGAATATTCTTAAGCAATTACCAAGCATTTGCATAATATATAACACTAATTTATATAGTATTTTGGGATACTTACGTGTAGGTCCTAATAAGTGGACTTATAGTCTAATAGGTCTTATGGGAAAAATTTGCCATGAAAAAAGTCAATAATTGTAAGTTTTAGCAACAATTTATAAAAATCATGACCAAAAAAAAAATCATTAATTGTCAATTTTTAGCGATATATATAAAAAATTGTCACAAAAAAATTATTTTTAGCGACAATTTTACTAAGACTTATTTTCAATAGGACTTGATGGGAATTAAGTCCAACTATTAAGACTTATTGGTAGTTTACCCTAGTATTTTTCATATATATAACACAAATTAATTTTACATAATATTTTTCATTATATATAACTACTAATTTGCAATAAATTCAACATCTTAAATCTCTTTTACTCATTTTTATTTTCATATTTCATTAGAAGTTAAAAGATATATATGCATTAACTATAGCGGAGCAAAACGGCTTCTAACGTGAATTATAAATTTTAAAGTTTAATCTGTGGTTAGCGAATGGATCGGTGCAGATTTGTGCAATATTTTGCACAACACTAATTATGGTCATGGGTTGTCTCTAAGGTTGTAAATGAAGAAAGTCGTTCATGAACAGACATGAGCTCAGTTTAGTAAAGGTTTATTCGAACTCGGTTCGTTAAATTTTTATTGAGTTCGAACTCTAAGTCATTACTTAATAAATAAATCCAAGTATATTAAAACTCGATTCGTTAGCTCGACTCGTTTAACATTTATTTAAATAATAAAATAAATATATTATTTACAAATTAAATAATGTAAAACTATTTATAAAAATTAGGGTAAATATGTTATTTATATGTTTAAATAATATAAATAATAGCTAGGTAATTATAGATAATAC